AGAGAATACGACAATTTACAAAAAAATTGATATTGATAAAGTTTTTTTTTTTAATATATTAGTTTTACTAAATTATTTAGTTATGCACCTGACGTACATTTATATAATTAGTCTACAAAAGAAATGCAATGTTACCTCAGAAGACATCGGCTTTATAAGGGACTTGAAAAATAAGTTGCTTTATTATTAGTTGCTGTTGAAAACGAACAGATTTGCAAAAAATTTTGCTTTTTTTTATACCCGCCAGCAAAAGAACTTTACCGAATCTGAGCAAAGGTACACAAAAGAGAAATGTTTACAAATTATGAGAACGTTAACTGAGAATTCTGACCGTACAACGGAACCACAAATTGCGGATACAGCTTTGTTACCTTCAGACAACTTTGAGCTGTTTTCAGGTCTTCTTAAACAACCTACCTTTGTGAGCAGAACTGATAAAGCTACTGCAGAGCTGCGGCGATATGAAAATATTGAGGTATATTTTCATACGGACTTCGATATAATTAATTGGTGGGAGGTACACAAATGCGAGTAGAGTAATAGCCACTCCTTCAACTAGAAATAACGTCTTCTGCTGGAAATGTTATTTCTGACAAAAGATGCCACCTTTTGTCAAATGATGGTGCCCTTAATCAGTTGATATTTTTGCATCATAATATGCAGTTAGGAAACCAATAAAATTAACAAAAATTGTCTTTACAANCACACATATATACATATGTATCTGTATGCCCATCTTATTTCTGCATGACACGCGCACATAGTTTTTGCGACCCCTATGGTCGTCTTCACAAAATCTACTGTGTTGTGGCTAAAAATGAAACGTACATAAGTTAATGATCTGCGTTTTCTAGCAACGATTGCCCCATGCGGCTTCCAACTGAAGACACAATTTGCACAAACATACATACATACACACCTATTCTAAAGTTACTTTGCTCTTAGCCAAGTTTACCGGCGCGCGCAGCATAAAGTGAATGAGTGATTCTCCTGTGAACGCAGGCTAATTGCTGTGGCACGTGACTTTGACCACAGCACAAAATTGCTACATTAGAAATGAATATGTATATTGACGTCAAAATTAATAGCACAAAAATCGCAAACAAAATAAGTAAAGCAAATACGCATATCCTACAGAATTAACCCAGGCAATAGTGCAACAAATAAATTCTTGTAGGTTATACATAGCTAATATAATAAAACTCAACTTTTTATTACTAACAAAAAAGTCTGCAATATTATTACAGTTTCACTCGTTTCGCTGTCATTGCCTTCCCAGTGGATTTCTGCTTCTTGGCTTTTGCTGCTTGGGCAGCTTGTCCCGCACCGCTTGTTGTATCTTGCAATTTCGAGAAGAATGACTTGGACGACTTTAGCGCGCGATGATCGTCGCTGGTTGCGTTCAACTGCAAGTAAAATGAACATTAGCTCATAGAATAAAATCGTCAAAGCAATTTAATAAAAAAATCTACTTTACCTTTTCGACATTGCGATGCTTTGTTAGCGACTTCAGCAGCTTCGCGTTCTCCTCTTTCTTTGTTGGCGCAATGCCCAGCTCCTGCTTTTTCTTGTTCTTCTCTTCTAACACCCGATTGATAACTCGTTGTTTTTGTTTCTTCTTGCGGCGTTCGCGGTTCTTGTCCGTACGATTACGTTCCGTCTTGCCGAGTAATTCATGCTTGGGACCCCGATACACTTCCTCGGGCGCTAGCAATTTAGCATCACTAACGACCACAGGCGCAACCTCTTCCATTGCCACGGCTGGTGTATTTGTTATTATCTTAGCCTCTGGCGCGACTGGTTTGGGTGTGAAATGGAAATTAGATAGCGCATCTAATTTAATGAATAGTGAACGCATAAGTTGTTTAATTTCTTTGTGCTCTTTGGATTCCTCCGCAGCAACATCACCACGATTTGGATCCAATTTATCCAATTCTTTTTGGTATTCTTTCTCATATACTTGCGCCAATGATTCCTTGGATTTTTCTTGGTCTAAAATCAATTGTTTACGGAATTCATGCGGCGACTGCACCGGCCTTATTTTGGGCTGTGGATCATCCCAGGCTTGGTCTCTGATGCGTTGCTTTATGATATCCTCCAAGCAGAGATTTGTTTGTTCAGTCATTATGGGGGCCGGGCGTACTGTTGAATCGAACTCGAGAAACTCTTCCAGCAGTGAGTTGGCTGGTCTGCTCTGGGCCTGAACCTCTCCCTTCAATTGCCAGGGCTTCGTGCCCAGCACTTCTTCTTCATATTCTCGTATGCGCTGCATCAAACGCGCCTGTCGTATTTCGAATGATGATTGTGGCTGCTCTTCTCTGGCGCCCGCATCATCTTCCGAATCATCAGTACCTGAGGAGGCGGATTGCAAGGCTTCTTTGGTGGAAACATCTTCATTACTGTCGCCATCATCATTTTTAAGTTTCTCAATTTCTCCGTCTTCCTCTTCCACTACTTCAGAGTCCTCTGCCTTCTCCTCCTGGGTTTCTTCTATCTCGTCTTCACTAGGCTCATCTTTGAAATGGTCCTTCACAGGCTCTTTCGTGCCTTCATTTTCTTCGCCATCTTCATCGAAGAAATCTTTGTATGTTGGATTAGCTTCTGCTTCGTTGTCGTCATCATCATCCTCTATTCCCAAGTCCTCAGCAAAATAATTAACCCCAGCGTCTATAGAATCTTCCGTTTTTCGCTTGTTTCGTCGCATCTCTTTGGCGTCTTCTTCCTCAAGAAATTCCTCCATTTCACTCAACTTAAAGAATTTGTCGTCCACTACAGATGAACGCAGCTTTCTTTTCTTCTTGGATTCCTTCCCGCTTTGATTGACTAATTGCTCTTCGTCTTCCTCATCATCTTCACCACTAAATAATTCATGTTCATCATCGTTCATCTCTGTTTCATCTTCACTTTCAACTGAATCCTCTTCTCCACCCTCTTGGTTCTCATCTTCATCCAGTCGCACTTCCAATTTTTCTTCGCGCAATGACAGCAGCTTGGATGCATTTTCTAATAAAGCTGAGAATACTGTATTGTTTCGTAATTCTAACTGCTGCCAGATCTGTTCCTCATCCATGTCCTCCACAAATAACTCCGGTAGTATTTCCGGCGCATTCTTGATCGTTTCATCATGTTTTACACAAGCTTTGTATGTTTTCTGCAGCAGAGATTTTATGTCTTCTTGCTTCTTAGGTGGGACGCTATAAGTTGTAGGAATTAGTAGTTTTTGTTTTTGGACATTTGGTGCATATATGGAGCACCACGTGCAATACTTACACCAGTAGAAATTGTGTCGGATCATCTGTAATTTCTTTAAATTCCTTATCAATTTCAATAAAAGTTTCATCCTCACTGAGTACGCCTTTGGTCACACTGGCCATTTTAACTAATATTTAAAATTAAAACGCTTTTAATTAGAAATTACTCAAACTAACTCCAAGTCTCAGTATATCCAGTAAACAAACTTAGCTATTTTTTTTTACCAAGTTTGGTCCCCATAAAGGACTAGTGTTGCAAGCAACGCTTTTTCGGCAATTAGGGTGTTGTGCAGCTATTTAATGTGGTGAAAATTATTTAAGCACTGGAGAGATTTATTCACATGGAATTGGAGATAGGGCTGATAGATTTATTTTAAATAAATTGTGAATCTGCGAAAATANCAAGTGCAAAAAATTGATGTAAATAAAACAGCTTCTTACACTTCCAACCATTCACAATCAATTTAAACGAAAAGCTGCCGTACCTTAAAATAAAAATAGCAAGGTGCTGCCAGATGGCTTAATATTTTGTAAAATTTTTCAATCCCAGCAGGACACTCCTAACATAAATTTTTTTGGAAGAAAGTAGAAGGAATCGTTGTAGACCTCAACTTTCTGCATGCAACATTTATGGACATAAATAAAGAAAAAAAGGAAGAATTGGCGGGATCGATTTATTATAAAGCATACCTCCCATTATAGACTTAACCCCAAAAACGCCTTAAAAATGCAATAAAAAGTGTTCCGATGAATATGTATTCACGTTGTATATGAAATCTATGAGTGCTTTGTTTTCATAAGAACCTACAACAAAAATAATAAAAATAAAATTTATGGAAAAACGGATCGCTTTAAGTGAATATAACTCTCAATTAGTTTTACTTGAATGCTTACTTCTCTAGATTTTTGTTGCTTTTGTTTCTTGGACAAGAATTTTTTTCGAGCGAATGTGATCCGACTGCCATCGCGATTTATCCAGCCCTTCATGAACAGCTCTTTCTAACTCAGAACTTCAAAATATTTTGATTTTCCTAAGCCTTGTAGAAAACAGCTAAAGTTTTCTTGAATTTTGGTATACGAATAACTATAAAGGTATCAAATTGGAGGAATAACCTGGCGATATGAGGACGTAGTTCTCTGCCATCAAAATACAATCAATTATCAAACTGGAGGAATAACCTGGCGACATGAGGACTTAGTTCCCGTTCCCACGACAGTCGGGTCTACGTAACCGGAACGAACCAGATTTATATTTGGCCAAGGACTGTCACTCCAGCAACACTCCCCAAAAAGTCTTTGGGGAATTTGTATGCTGCTACAACAACAACAACAACAACAGGACTTAGTTCGCAGCCATTCAAATACAATATATATATATTTGACATATAACCAATAATTATTAAACTAGAGGAATAACCTGATTACTTGTGGACCATTAAAACACAATACACAATAATAATAATAATTGATATAAATGATAAAGAATTGAAAATTATAAGACGCATGATATAAATATTAGCAGAAACTTTTGCACGTGGTTCTGGCCCTCAGTGGTATTACCATATGTGTATCAGTGGAGCAACGTTTGGACGCATCAATGGAATATAACATATACATATGAAGATATATATTAAAAGCAGAGGAATAACCTGGCGATGGTGAAAAGCGGCCAACCTACCCAAAGTCAAAAAAAAAAAGAATTTTGGTACATTCCGAGTGGGCATTTTGGTAGAAAAAATATTTTTGTCACGGCAACTCTGATGATCAAAAACTATTGCGATTTTAGCTGTCAGAATTTGTTTGTCCAATTGGCGTCCTGAAGAAAAGTTTGCCGGTACATAGAAAGTCCATACAAATCCCTGAAAGAATATGGAAAAGAGCGTAGTCCTATTGCTGGTGCTTGGTGGTATCGTCCGCTATTACCTACAGAGTTTTCATTCGATCGGTGAACGTGTGGAAGTGTCCACGCCTATTAACTCATTCAAGCGAGGTCAGTCAGATTCACTCATCTAATATTCATTAATTTGTTATATTTCTCCACACAGTGCAAGAGGGTATCTATCTTTACGAAAATGGTATTGATCCGTATGCGGGTGATGTAGTGCATGAGCTGCCTGTAGTGCTGGTGCTACTCGTGCGTATTTTTGGATCCGTATCAAATTTTATGCCGTTGCTTTATAATGTACTTGATCTGCTAACAGCAACGCTACTATACAAGATGGCGAAAAAATTCGTGAGCTCTAAATTATTAGAGCAAAGAGAACAAAAGTTTGAATTTGCACGCGATACAGAGGAGTTACAGTTCCAAAAGTCCGACATGGATGTAGTCCCGCGTTGTGTATTACTCGCATATCTATTCAATCCATTGTCATTGCTCAGTTGTGCTGGGCTAACATCGACGGTATTTAGTAATTTTTTGTTAGCGCTTACCTTATACTTCTTGGTGCATCGCTATCTACTGCCTTGTATATGCTGCTTAGCGCTGGAAACAATGCGTAACTTATATCCGCTGGTACTAATAGCGCCAGTTGTGTTAGTCTTCACACAACGTTCAAAAGCGCCTACATCCAGTGCCATAGGTGTAGTGGCATTATTTGGTGCAGCCTGCTTCGCTATCACTGGCGTTAATTATGCTTTAATGCAAAGCTGGAACTTTTTAGATGCCACACTGGGTTTCATGTAAGTGCCGGATTTCTTTTCTTACTAACCATAATATTTAGTATAAGCCATACTTTTCTCGTAAACAGTTTCTTCTATCGCGATCTGCAACCAAATATCGGTCTTTTCTGGTACTTTTTTACGGAAATGTTTGAACATTTCCGCACAATGTTCCTCATCACATTTCAAATGAACGCTACTGTCCTTTATCTTGTGCCATTGTCACTTAAATTGCGCAAAGAGCCATTACTGCTGGCAACCGTGCTCATAGCATTAATGTCCATATTCCGTTCGTATCCTAGTGTTGGTGACGTCAGTTTCTACTTAGCACTTCTGCCGCTGTGGCGAAGATGCTGGAAATGTAAGTGTAAGAAAATCATAAGAAATTTTCATATAATAAAAACTCTTCTTGCAGTCATGGCGCATAATTTCGTAGTGTTTTGCTTCTTTGTGGTCACCTTATCAATGATGCCGGCCCTTTGGCAATTATGGATTTATTCCGGTTCAGCAAATGCCAATTTCTACTTTGGTACGACGTTGGCTTTCTCCACCGGACAGGTAAGAATAAAAATATTTTTGGTGAATATACATATTTTTGATCTTCTACTATTTTATCCACAGATATTTTTGGTCACCGATCTGTTGTTTGCCCATGTAAAACGTGATTTCTGCCTACGTAATGGTTTGAAAATTTATGTCGATGGCAAGGAAGCAAAAATAATTTTAGAATAAGTTACTATTTTTCCTAATGTAACCAGTACTTAAGCTGTCTTCTAAATGTATCAATTGCACACTCCACTAGTATTGACTGCATTTATTAGCTAAGAAGCAAGTAAGAGTATTGGCTGCAAGATTATCAAATGTTGGAGTGCGAGTATGAAATTTCTAGAATTAAAAAAACTATCTGCAATGCATTTTATGGCTGTAGTATTGGAACTTTGTAGTACATAGAATGTTTGATTTAGCATTAAACAAAAAGAAACGAAAAAATTTAAACTATAAATATTCCTTATTTTATGTAATTGTATGTACATTTTTTTGATAGAGTAGCAAATTTCAGTTGAATCCATCACCACGTTGTTGCTGTAGTAGCAACAAGAATTAATCATTCAAGGCTTTTCTATACGCCTCTTTCGCGAAAGGAGGCGATGCGGCTTACCGTCGTCCGTCTAGCCGAGTAGCAGTTTGTTACGAATCAGAGCGTTCTTGGGTTGTAAGTTCCTGGCAATGAAGAATATAGCAAGGTGGGAGAGACATACAGCAATCTTCTCCAAAGGCTGTCGTGGTTTGGCCCGTCGACAAGATGGTGGAGTCGGACGTTAAGTCACTAAGGTAACACCAGAGAAGATTGAACAGCCCGAAGTCTGTCACTCGCACAGATAGTTGGTGACCCACCTGTTCACCTGTAGCATGGTCGACTGTGCCGAAGGCTTTCGAAAGATCATTCGCGACTACCCTATCACTAGGAAATTTTTCCATTGTTTGCTGCAGCTTAGATTTCCCTACTTGTATAGCGTATTAGTGTTTCTTGGAATCAAATTTGATATGATATACGTGCTTTATACTTGTCAGTGTATGCGAGGAAGGTGATGTCTGTGTGTGGTTGGAGCGATGGTGGGTTGTAGAGGTACTTTGGTACAGCAAAAGTATTTTTGATTTCACGAAAAATCAGACTACGATGGATTCCGTGATAGCCGTGATTAGCTCCTTACGTTTAAATATCCAAATGCTTTCCCCTTTTGGGTTTGGTTTAATAATTTATTGCATAATTTATATTAACATTTCCTCATTTCTCACATTTGATTCTTTTGATTCTATTTTTATGATTTATAATTTAATAAGTTATAATAGATTTAGTAGTAAATATGCATAGGTGTGGCTCAAAAATTTTTGGAGAACAAAATATTTTTAGGAAATTATATAATTTTGCGTGCTCTCTGCCTAGCGTCGTTAAATCATATAGTAAAAGTGGCCTACAAGGAAGTAAACTACTTTAATTTTGAATAAAGAAAATTTTCCTGGTTTGGCCGTTCTTTGTGAGCACATGAGTCTAGCTTAAAGATATTTAGAAGGAATATGCTTTCATAAAAATTAGTAGGATAGAACGTTTTTGTTTTTTTTTTATTACAGGAGCTTGATTATAACGATTGAACGAGAACAAGATTAGGTTTAGCTTAGCTTAGTTCATTCTTTTATTTTTTTAATAGATATTTTCATTTTTTTTTTTACGTATATACCTATGCGAATGCGTTAAGTTGATTCATTTTATTTAGCTTTCATATGTATATGGGGGTTCATATTGTATTTTGTATAACTGCCAACGTTCATAATGGGGCTTACTTTACTACTATACTGCTCTCAGCGTCCATACTTTTTAATGCACTATGCTTTATAAATTTATAATTTAAATATGTATGTATTAAGATCGATGTAATTCGCAATATGTATTTATGTAATCATGATTCTCATTTATTCGTTATTTATGTATGGAGTTAATAATTGATTGCAAGTTGTGAATGTGAATTGAACGTCTAGTACTACTTCGCTTTGGGTGTAAATACTTACATATATACATACATACGTATGTAAGTATTTCTGTGTGTAAGGTTGTATGTATTTGGCTAAAATCAACTAAGGTCATGGTTATCGTCTTTTTCGATAGTTTCAACTATAACTAGCAACGAAAAAAGTAACCAACAAGAGTCATCATCCCTTCAAGTAAATGCAGTATAGCATTAGGATGCAATGTCTAGGTTACAAATGTGTTTCAAGTTCATGTCAATGTAGTGCATGTGGATGTATAGTAAAAAAACCTGTAAAGTTTTGCTTCTAATAGTTTATATATATGCATGTATGCATTAACAAATAATTTGCGTATATCTAAAAAGTTTGATATTCAATTCGTTATATGTGTATGATAGTTCAATCCATTAACAGCAATAATCGAGATTATGTGTACAGTACAACACTTATCTGTCACCTTTTTGATTAACTTACTCGCTTACATACTACATACAATCTCATGAAACGCATTAATTGTATAAACTTAATTGCCGAATATGCTCCACTATTACTGGACACGTTGACTACTGTTGCCGTGTTTGCTAAATACATCTCCAAAGTCCGCAGAAACAGCTAATTGAAAATTCTCTGAATATTTGTTTGATTATTTATTCATAATTACGCTTCACCTCTCTCCTTACGTTCCTACGATGTTCTCCCGTCCTCTTTCCCAATGGCATTGCAATTGCAAGACATAATTGACAACGTTCGTCTCTTCAACTACCACGACTATCAACCATGCAGCCGCGTAACTGACGCTAACGCCCGCCACTCCGTTCCAGCGCGCGTTATCTCACAAACGCATTAGCAGTTTACCAAATACAATTTGTTTTTGCGCAACATTCTTGGATTAAGCAAATAAAACACTTCGCATGCTGCGTGTCTATGCTTAATCCAAGAATGGGTTTTGTCATACTGGTCTTTGCGGCACTGGTGTCGCTGTTGTTGCTGCTGCTGCAGCATTGGCTGCTGCCACTATGACGTCCCTACCAAGTTTGGGTCGTGTTGTTGGCGGTGGTGGCGGCGGTGCTCGTCGCATACGTTGCTGCAGGATACGTGGCAGCTGAGGGTGTGTCTTTTGCGGTGCTGGCGGCAAAGGCATACCGCTTGGTATGTGCTTGCCCATCGAGGAGGTAGCCGATGACGAGCCTGATGTGCCCGACGCTGAACTTGTGGAAGCGTGCGACGTAATCGAGCCACCAGGTGGTAATGTTGCTGGCACTGCAATGGGATGTGCTAGCTTTAAGGGCTGCGCTGAATAAGACTCCTCCTCGGCTTCGGATGTAAGCGAATTCGTATCGGATGGCGTAGGTGAGGGAGATGGCGGCGATAGCGCCTCCTGTTCTTGTAAGAATACACGAAATCCCTGAATTGATTCGTTGAGTGCCCATAATTGTGAGAGTAGTGAAAGATCTAACTGCCGCAAACCATACATTTCACGACGCAGTATGGCTAGTTGTGTGTCCAATGTGCTAGTACTGCTACTGCCACTCACACTGCCTCCACCCATCGAACTCGACCCGTTGTCGGTATGTGTGTTTGTAGGTGTATGATGACTGCTGTGTGATGAAGATGCGCGACTGTGTATACTTTCTCGATCGCTTAACGACTCCTGCGTTGACGATAGGCTGCCGTGTCGATAGTGGTTGCGCGTGGCTGCCGCCGATGTGGACGGTCCCAAAAAGAGATCCACACTTTCGACACCATGCAATCCATGGTGGTGGTGATTTAACGGCGAAGCAGTATTCGAGTGCGTTGCGGATGAGTTTGCCGACGAAACACCTGCAGCTGCTGTGCTCAGACTTTTTGGCAGTGGTGGCAGGCCCGGTAAAGATAATTTATTCAATTCGCTATCCATTTCACGCTCTCGTGAACGTTCCCTTGCTAATCTCATATGCCGTTTAAATTTTAAATATCTATATAAATTTATTGTTATTAAATTTGCGCGTTTAACTCGCATTCAGTATTCATTTATGACTTTTACGAAATTTTTGTTGCAAGCCAACGTCCGGCGTTCTTAATGTATATTAAACTTCCAGCTTTGTCGGCACATAGGGCACTGCTTATTCATAGTTTGCAAATTCAACCACTTTACAATGCAGTGCATATGAAAACAATGAGAGCACACGCCCCACACTAAAGGACAATCGTCACCAGGTAGCGAACACTCCGGACAGGTACCTAAAACAAATGGAAATTAGTGTTAGATTACTTAACCTGATATTTAATCATTATTGGTTGCATATAATATGGAGCTCCGCCACTTACTCTCGAATGACATTCGACAGATGCCGCAATTTTCATCATTTGCGATCCATCGCCAAGTTGCTACTCCAGTCCACGATTTAATTGTTAGTTTCATTTTGCAAACATTAGGATCATTGATTAAAACAAATGCAAAGTACACAGCACAATATTAATTATTATGTTTATAGGCCAAAAAATAAAATTTCAACAAAAATTTTCACAATTTTTGCTCTGGCCCTTTTTGTGTTTTCTGCTTTTGATTTTGCTATAGTGCGGCGAAAATTAGGTAGGCGAAAAACAATAGGTTCATTCCTTATCTTTTTGGACTAAAATCTGAAAAGTGTCAAAATGCCAGAGCGTAAGCAAAATGCGCTCACTAAAAGAGAGTAACAGGAAAAGTAAAGGAACGCAAAAAACCAAATTTTTAGTCCAAAGAATGGCAACAACAAAACTAACGTCAAATAAGAACAGAAATGTATGTACAAAACACATTCACACAAGCACAAGCACAATAAACACTTGCTATATCAATTATTTTTTGCCTCCTTCCAATTTCAATTCACTTCTTTTACTTTTTAGATTATTCTCACTTTTTGCGTATTCTTTAATTTCCGTTAATTTAAATTCAGTTGAGTTTGACACTTTTCAGGATTTTGCCAGAAAAAATTCTTCTGACTAAATCTGACTACTTCGGACTGATGAGAGTCGCTCTCACTGACTGTTGCTCTCTCATTTTTGCTGTCATTTCCGAGTTAAGGAACGCTTTTTGGACTAAATCTGACTACTTCGGACTTTTTCTGACTATTTCTGGGAGATAAGGAACGCGCATAATATAATAGCAAAATTCGCTATACGGCGAAGCGAAATAATTGAGAGCTGCCAGAAGCATAGGATAGAAACAAAAAATAAGAGTGTATTTTAAGACTTCACACAAAAAATTTGTTGAAAAATATGGTAATTCTCTAGGGTGGGGTAGCAACCCCTAAAAAG